GCAATTAAAAAAGGGCATTTTGTCTCACACTCTGCTTGACCACCAATCGGCCGCCAGGAAAACGGTTAGCGAAAAGCCAGTGGGCTGGCAGCTTCACCATCAGTGAGCCAACAGTGGCCCACTATCCTCTTGCCATCTGGGTTAAGGAAGACTTGCAGCACTGATATTTGCTGTTAGCTAGCACAAGAGGCCAAATGTCATATTAGCATCTAGCATAGTGAAATAAACTAGCATCACCCTTAGGCCGGTTAAAAGCAAAGCAACACTTGTAGCACTGATATCCACTGTTAGCTAGCACAAGTGGTCGAATCACAGTATCACTCTTAGGCTGGCTGAGCGGAAAGAGAGGAAGACCTAGCACTGATATCTACTGTAAGCTACTGTAAGCTAGCGTAAGAGTTCAAATCTAATATTAGCATTACTCTTAGGTTGGTTTAGTGGACAAAAGCAAAGCAACACTTCTAAGATGAATAGGTAACCAGGTAAAACCAGCTTGTTGAGCCTGGCTGGCTTCAACTGGACAAAAGCAAAGGAAAGCCTGTAGCACTGGTATCTGCTGTTAGCTAGCATAAGTGGTGAAATTTACTAGCATCACTCTTGGGCTGTTTAAAAGCAAATCAACAGTTAGCATTAGTATCTGCTGTTCACTAGAATAAGTGGTCAAATATCACATTAGCATCAGGCATATGCTGGTTATAACTGGATAAAAAAACTAAGCAACATTTGTAGCATTGATATCTGCTGTTACTTAAATAAATTAGCAGTACTTTTAGGCTGGTTATGAGTGGACAAAAAGTAAAGTACCAGTTGTAACAATGATATTTGCTATTAGCTAGAATAAGTAAACAAAATGTCATACTAGCGATTTTTCCACTGGACAAAAGAAGTGCAATATGCGTAACACTAATAGTTGTTGATAACCAGATAAAACCAGCTTGTTGGGCTGGACTTGTTATAACTGAACAAAAGTAGCATTGCTATCTGATGTTAGCTAGTCTAAGTGGACCACTGGCATCACTCTTGGGCTGATTATGACTGGACAAATGCAAAGCGTCACTTGTAACATTGATATCTGTTCTTAGCTGTGGTCAAATATCGTACTAGCATCATTCTTAGGCTGGCTGCGACCTAACAAAAAGCGCTCGAGTGCCACTGTAGTCATTTATAAACCAAACAATTCTCTCTTGAATATATCTGAATTGGAAAAATATTACGGAAATAAATTCCAAATGCCATTTACGCCACGATGAACTGTCACTTAAATATGCGCATGCACAGATTTGCTGGATCAAGCGGTCAAGAACAAGGAAATGAATGGAGAAAGGAGGAAGCAAGTGAGGAGAGGAGGCAAGAAGGGAGGACAGGGCAGGCGAGGAGGAGTGATGAAATGTTTAATTGACTAAGTGAAGCACTCTAGCGCTGCCCGCCCGGTGCAACCTTTCAACCCTGCAGTCGGCGGCTACAGCACCTCCGCGCATGAACATCATTCATCATCCCGCGCTGAATATTTATGAGCTGGGCCCGGGGTCAAGCCGATCGCCATCGCTTCCTGCCGCGGGTTAACGGGCCTCTGAGTAGAGGGTGGGGCTGTGGGCCGATCCCATCGCCATGGCAACTTCACCCTCATCGACCTCAAGGTGGGGGCGCGGTTTAATGACTCCCACTCACGGGCATTATATTATGATAGATTAGCATTTAGCGCTAACAGTGGGGTGTCCTTTCAGCAGAGTGTTTCCTATAGATGCTAAAGGTCATGCTAGGAAATGAAACCAGCGCAGTGAGGTAAGAGAATGGGCGGACGTTCTTCATTGGGCGATGTTGTCTGAGGTCACGGCTGCAAGAAAAAAAGGCTGTTTTTTTTTTTGAAGGATCGTTTAAACAGGTCGCCCAAACCAGCATTGAAAGCACACCTAAATTAATCAGCCCGAGTCGTGCTGCCCGCCGGCGTATGAATATTCCAACTGCGCCGCTTCATCCAGCTCCTGCTGACTAAGTAATTGTAATTCAGCATTCTTTATGCAGCCAGAACCCTGAATATGCATATCGTTAGAATCCATTACCACATTTTAAGATTGCGTTATGCAAAATGGGGACGACTTGAATAAATAGCTTCCCACTTAGCATTTCACAAAGGGTTTGTTCGTGTGTTATGACCCAACTACATGGAGAAACTTAAAGAAAGCAGCAATAATAAAGGAGCACACTCAGCTGCTTCAGAGGAAACCTAAACTCCTTTCTTTTGAGCCAGCTGTAAAGTAACTGGCCACTTCCCTAATCCTGACTAGTCAGGACCAGCTAAGCAGGTATTCACAGTATCAGGCAAGACGCAGTATTTCCTCTGCATAACAGGTTTATCCCACGACCTGTTTGTGTCTTTTGTAACTGACAGAAAGGGGAGGAACAAGGAGACCATCACAGAATTCAAACCTAATGAGTAGATACCACTGTGGTTTACAACCCTATTTCCAAAAAAGTTGGGACGCTGTGCAAATTGTAAATAAAAACAAAATGCAATGATGTGCCATGTTTCATTGAAAATAGTACAAATGTTGAAATTGAGAAATTCTATTGTTTTTTGAAAAATATTTGCCCATTTTGAATTTGATACCAAGAACATGTTCCAAAAAAGTTGGGGCAGGGGTGACAAAAGGCTGGTAAAGTCGTGTAATGCTAAAATAAACACCTGGTGGTTAATTGGAAACAGGTCAGTAACATGAGTGGGTATAAAAGAGCATCTCAGAGAGGCTTTCAGAAGTAAAGATGAGGAGGGATTCACCACTCTGTGAAAGACTGCATGATCAAATAGTGGAACAATTCAAGAATAACATTTCTTAACATAAAATAGCAAAGAACTTTTGGTTTTCATCATCTATGGTACATAATAACATCAAAAGATTCAGAGAATCTGGAGAAATCTCTGTATGTAAGGGGCAAAGCCAAAAACCAATATTTGCTGGCCGTGATCTTTGGGCCCTCAGGCGGCACTGCATTAAAGACAGACATGATTCTGTAGTGGAAATCACTATCTATGAAAACAGTTCATCACTGCATCCACAAATGCAAGTTAAAACTCTAAAATGCAAAGAAGAAACCATACATAAACAGGATCCAGAAATGCTGCCACCTTCTCTGGGCCTGAGCACATTTAAAATGAGCTGAGGCGAAGTGTCCTGTGGTCCAACGAATCAACATTTAAAATTTTAAACATTTGTGATTTGCACACGATTGCGTTTTGTTTTTATTTGAGTTTTGCGCAGCATCCCAACTTTTTTGGAAATGGGGTTATACTTCAAGCTCAAAATGTCTGAGATGTTAGAACATCCAAGGATAGTCTACAAGTTTATTATGTTATTCCAAGGTCATTCCAGTTATATATTTGAATATACTTTGGACTTTAGGACATTAGAAGGTCCAATAACACTCATATTCTCTAAACCATTCTCTAAAGCGGGCAGTTGTGTACTATATACGGTGCAAATATGAACATGATTTGATAAGCCATGCATCAATGAGGTCTTGAGAAAAACAAAACCATAGGATTCCAGGCAGCACTCGTACCTTGATTGCAGTTTTGCAGGACAAAACGCTGAGTAAACCCCTCATAGTTATAGCTATAGGTCAATATCAAAAATGAAAATTTTTGATATATTTAGCAAGTGTGTTTTTATTTGTGTTTTCTCATTAATAGGATTTTAAGATTGAAAGTACATTTGAGTAATTTTGATTGGGCCAGTGACAGACTGAAGCCAGTGGGCCCAATTATACCACCACCAGTGATTCCAGGTCAAAATAGTTAGAATTATTTATAGTAGTAGTTTCGTTTCATCCAGTATGCCAATTGAAATTCATCCTCAGGTGTGAGTTTCATCATAACCATCTTATGTATGCCACAATTAAGCATAGATAGCACGACAAACAGTGAAAACCATGCTAACGTTATCCTATTTAGCTGAATATCAAAGAATATCAAAATATTTAGTTTTTATAAACAGCTTGTAGGGGTAAAATGGATTAAGGAAAACTACAAAACTACTTTTTTACAAAGTGTTTACAAAGGAGCAAGAGGAAAATTCAAATAATTAGTAAAAATGATAAAACAAAATAAAATAATAGCACAGGCTGATGTCCAGCTACTTTTTACTATGCAGTTTATTGTCAACGTCAGAACAAACGTTCTACCTGACATTTTTATTTTTTTTAATAGAATTTTGAAAACGCCAGCTGCCTTTACAACATGTTGAAATTTTATGATGGAAAGACCAATGGAAATGCTCCAAAATCACTTAAAGAAATCTTGTTCCATTACTTTCCATTCTGAGTTAAGAAAGTTTTTTCCTTCTTAAAAGTTAACATTTGGGAGATATGAGGTTTTGATATTGCTGCTACTTAGCCATACAGTTGTTCAGTGATCTAGAAATACTGATGATAATTTGGGGAAAATATCTAATTGCTATTTTCCTGTCACTGGAATTATTTTTTATATAAATGAAGGTCCCAGGTCTGATATTTTGTCCAAGCATATCAATGTTTTTTTTGGCCTGAGGCTTAAATGTTGCCTTTTCACTGCCTGTAAATGGTGTTAGGTGTTTGGCTGATTCTGATTGGTCCACCTCATCTACAGGCAGTTCACCAGCTCCATTATTAGCTTACATTTCCTCTCTCAAAAAACTAAGACAACAGTATTGATAATGTAGGCTATAATTGAAAACTCATTCATAGCATTGGCTGAGAATAGCAAAGCTCCAATAATGTAAATACACAGTGTTGCAGCCAATACAGCAAAGCCAAACAAGGCCTACGCGCTGAACACAGGCCATAACAAACATTCCACCAGACGTATAGGAAACCAATGGCTTTCTCACTCACTTTCACTGATAACGCTCTTCTAGCCAAACGCCTCGCTTACATACACTCTCACATTCTCTTACATACATACAGCACCACCCGAAAAGCTGGGATGACCAAAACCGCCTTGTTTTGTTTCTCGCCACGTTCCTTACCTTATCCCTGTCTTCCACCAGGTCTGTAAGCATGTCGTCCGGGTCCAGGATCCCCCCGTCCATATACTCCACGTGGTGTGTCCGCACCAGGAACTCCCCATCCTGTTGGGAACAATGCCTCCATTAGCCAAGTTCCTCTTTCTGTTCGAGACAGGAGACTAAGGAGAGCTGACAAGACATTACAAGATACTTCATACTTTTTCATGAATATTTCAGATAAAGGCCAAAGTAAGGGTCAATGAGCAACACATTACTCATCCAGCCAGTTCGGCCTTAAACCACAGCCTTATTGGTTAGTTATTAGGCTTGAAATGATGGCCAAAAAGCAAATCTACACAATTTTCCCATTTTTTCCAAATGTCCGAAAGTTCACAAGACACAACTGAGGCTGCATTTAGTTATACAGTGTACGTTTGTACTTTTGTAGTCATACAGTGGCAGAAACCAAATAAGCAAACTGAAATAGACTTGGCTAGCAATTTATTAGCTGCATTAGCTTCTATATATATATATATATATATATACACACACACACACACACACACACACGCACATTTATATACACATATATACATACATACATACATTTCCCAATATATAGATAAACCTATGTCAATATTGCTTTCTAACACACCTGCAGTGCTAAATGTTGTAAATGTTGCTCCACATCTTTCTGTTCCTCCTTAAATGGAGCATCATTCACGCTTGAGAAGTCCACAGCTTCTTACTGTACGGCAAAATGGCCTGACGTTATTGTTGTTTGCACTACTTGTACGTTGTGTTATCTGCACTCATTTATAACCAGACTCACACCTGGTATACTGCCCACTACCAGCGCCACTGTATATTTTGCAAAGGCTTATTTTGCAGTAACTACTATTAATTTTTCAGCAATTACTATGAAACTAATTTGTAAGCTACTCTACTGTTAAAAGGTTTTGTATCACTTTTCATATTAATGTCTCATTATTTCCAATAAAATAAGACATAAAACTTTTAAAATGCAGATTTAACTTTTGGAAGTTACTGGAGGATAAATAACATACTGTAATTATCTGTTTATAGAAAGTTTTCTGCCTCGAAATGTAACTGTCACTCTTGAAATACAAGACAAGACATTATTGACATTAATCACATTATAACTTAATGTCATGATTTTTCAATTATCTGCAGCTCTGTTCGTCAGTCTGGACATTTAAGATATTCAAAATGTATTTATTTATTGCCTGTAATTACAAAATTACAAACTGTTGTACAGGATTAGTATATTACAATCATCCAGTTCAGCTTCTCTGAAAGAGTTCATTTTTCAATTCACAGGGAATTCACAGTTGTTTGCAAATATTCGGCATCAAATTCTATTTATTTGTTGATTTTTATTTTAAATATATTTTTATTTAAAAGTAAAAATAAGTTAACACATCAAGAGTACACTTCTGCACGTTACTGCACAATTACTGTTTATTTGTTGAATTATTCCATACAGGAGAAAAAAAAATAAAAACATAAAATGTGGCCTGTGCAAAAGTTACAGCACATCTTTTATTTATCTTATTTTAAATAAACTATATATACACGTTTGCACAGACCACATTTTATGTTTTATTATTTTTTCTCAATATATTCAATTCAGCAAATAAATGTGCATTAAATTGTGCAGCAGTGTGTCCTCTGTCGAGGATGCATTCACTTATTTTCACTTAGAAAATCAACAAACCATGGAATTTGACCGGGGCGCCCAAACTTTTCCATACAATCGTATATTTACTGTCAGCAAGGTCTCAAACTAAAACAAAATGATAATTTGACCATATATGGACTGAAAAAACATTCCAAAATACTCGTTGGAAGCACATATGAAAATGCTGTTTATCAGTAAGGGTCAGTTAGACCTATAGAGACAGAAGTGGACCTGAATGTCCATTGGAAGCTGTAGCTTTGAAGAAGGGTGTGTTTTTCCTGTTGATCCGTTTTACGGCCGGGCCAGCGCGTTCTGAAAGCGCAAAAGAACTGCAGTGGAGCAGAGTGAAATCTTCACAGATCCATAAGAACCATTCCGGCCCATTGTTATGAAGGACAAGGGCTGTTTCTTTATCGAAGCCATCAGGAATGGGAAGTTTTGCTTATGCCACAATAACATTGCTTTTTTAGTGAGCCTTAACTCAGCAGTGCAGACTTCATTCAGTTCTGCATAAGACAATGGCACAAGCACTTGGATCAGACTAAGACTGGCTCTACGCGGTCAAACGTTAATGCAACTAGTTGCAAGTTGTGAGTTGCCTGCAACAACATTTCCATGCAACTTCACAGTTATGTGATGCAACTCAAAAACAAAGTTGCACGCAATACATTTAAATACTTTACTTGATAGCCAGATTAGCAGCTTGCATTATTTAATACACTGTACTGTTCTGTACTGTAATACACTGTAAAGTCACCTGCGAGCTAATTCTTATCTTCATATATATTTTCCACCTGTCATTGATGTCTCACTCCTCCTGTCCTACAAGCACAACAAGTTCATCAAGCACCTCCTCTTCTGTTTTAATTTTCATCTTTTGGACCCCAGATGAATCTGAACAGAATCAGAATCAGAGAAAACGAATCTAGCTATGGAAATCACCATAACATCATAACCACAGTGGAACCAGCAGCCGTTTAAACAGCTGTTAGCGTTAGCTGGCTAGTTAACACATCTGATTCCAAAAAATATCAGATTTGAGAAACTCAAATTTGCTGTGGCTCAGGAAACTGACAAAACGAAAAACTTCCAGACAGTCGGGAGGGGGTCAGTCAGGAGGTGGGGGTCTTATCCAACTCAAGTGCAATTTAGGTTTCATGTATTCAAGCAACTAAAGTTGCACAAAAGTTTCACATCTAGATTGACTGCTTCATAAAACTTGCTTCACAAAGCTGACGCTTGCAACTGTTGCAGCTGAGTTTCAAACGAGTTGGAGGACGCTTTGCATTATTCAACTAAAACACAGTTGAGTTTCATGTAGTTTTGAAGCAACTAAAGTTGCATGAAAGTTTCACCATGTAAAGCTAGCCTTAGACTAGCCCTCCTGCTTTTCAACAGGAATGCACCTGTCTTCAGCTAGGTTGGCCTCAGCTAAATAACCAGCTGAGCAAACTCTGTAAGGCAAGCTATGTTTCGAGAATTCTAAGAAGTACATAGAATTATTTAAAAAAAGATTTCTAAATGATTTAAAGAAATATCTTGGGATTTTTGGAAAAACAAAGTGGTTACTTTGGCTATAAAAACTGAAGAAAAGTCTTTTGCACCGGTCAAATACATAGACACTAGTCTAGATGACCCAATATTGAATAAAATGAAGAAACACTGTAATTTTAGTGCTTAAATTCCTTTGTTTCATGATTTGCTTCATGATTTGATGTTTGGAGGCATCCAAAGCTATGGATAATGTAAGAATAATGGCTTATAAAGACAAGGCATCTTTAATCTCCAACAGGTTCCAAAAAGCCATTTGAATTGTTGGCCTACTTTTGAATCTCACTGAATTTCTACCCCTCAGTCCATTTGAACATTGTGGACCAGTAGTAGGTACCCGCTGAGCTGAGTGGCTGAGTCAGGGTTTCTGTCACATTTCAAGAGGAAATGAATAGACAGTAGACCCCTGATCACCTCCCGCTGTCTAGTCTGTTTCATCTGAGGTTGTCTACTTTGCTTTCAAAGCAGCGGACATAAAGGAATGGCCAGTCTTTTAGGGTTAGCCTTAGGCCAACATGGACACCAGACTGACGAGGCCTGGCTAAGAAGATAAAGTTTAAGTTTGGTTCTTTTTTAAATTTCCCACTCCACCTTAAATAGTGCAGCAGTTCCATTAAGGTGCATGTACTAGTTCCGGAATGTAATTGCCGCTCCATTTAAGGTGGAATGGAAAATTAGAGCAAAAAGCTGCTGAACAAGAAGCCAACTTGAGCCTTGTAGAAACAACATTTGACTAACATTTTGTCAGTGGAAACCATCTTGTTAAAATTTTTCATTTTGAACCCACAAACTACAAACTTGAGATAACTGACTTCTCCAAAGAGGAGATAATCATCACTTTAGCAATGGAACGAATACATTTAAAGAGGAAATTAAGGTAGTAGTTTGGGATTCACTACTCACTAGGGTTTCATCATATCTACAAATATTATGTTGCTGTTAAATTGCGATGTATCTTCAGATCTATTCAAATTATTGGCAAACCTCTGATGACAAGATTACAGATCTGCCTGCATTTACATTTGTGTCTTCAGTCATCCAAACACCCACAGAAACTCATCTCGAACATCTGAGGTTGATCAGAGTGCTCACAGCACGCAATAAAAACAATCTGCAATTTGTTAGAGGGCTTATTTGCATTTTACAGCCTTCTGTGATAACAGTATAGCAAAGATCAATATCACAATAATGATTAACGAACAGTACATTGTGCTTACTACAAACTCAGTTCCAAGAAAGTTGGGATAGTATTTGAAACTCCAATAAAAACAACAAGCAGTGGTTAGTAAATTCTGTTAGACCTGAATTACATTGAAAACAGTAAAGCACAACCCAACATTTGATGTTTTACCTTATGAGCTTCACTGTTTTTGTAAATATATACTCATTCAAAATGGTTCCAAAAAGGTTGAGACAGGAGCATGTTTACCATTGGGTTAGGTCAGCTCTCCTTTTAACAACATTTAATAAATGTTTAGGGGCTGATGACACAAACTGATCCAGTTTTGAAAGTGGAATTTTTTTGCCATTCTGTTGTACAAGTCTACAGCTGAGCAACCGTATGGGGCTTTCTTTGTTGTGTTTGCACTTCATAATGCACCACACATTTCCAACAGAAGACAAGCAGGCCAGTCTAGCACCCACACTCTCTGATTTGCAGCCCTGCTGTTGTAACGTGCGGAATGCTGAAATAAGCATGGACGTGCCTGAAAAAGATGGTGTCTAAAAGGCAGCACATGTTGCTCCAAAATGTGTGCGTATCTTTCAGGTGCTTTTACAGATGAGCAAGTTACCCAGTTATACGTCCTATGACAGACCCTGGATGTTCAACTTTACACTAGTAACAATCCGGATGGTCCTTTTCTTCTTT